GGCGTATGACTAGAATAGGTGGCAAGTGCGTAGTCTCCTGCTACATAGGCACAAAGAGGGGATCTGAAAGTGGTTCTGCCATCCTGGGAAAATGGCAGCTGTGTGGATGAGTGGAAGTGTGGTCCAACATGGGGAAACTATAACGTTAACTAGGATAAGGGCCGGGCTAGATCATGCTTGTGTCTCATTTTTACAAGCTCTCTATTAGCAACCAAACAGAAGCCAGCAAGGTGCAAGAATAATAGCAGAAAAGGGACTATGTGGCTTTCCCACAGGCTTTATTCCACAAGACATTGAGTCTCTACAACTCCTACAGACTTTGGCTTCCTGGGGGGCTCTCAGACTAAAGCAGGGCTAGGGTTTCTAGCTAAAGGCTCACCACAGTCCAACATGTAGGCACAACCGAGACCCTCAACACCCTTCTCAGCTACTGCCTAACCCATAGGCAGCTACATTTCTGACAGTAAAGTGGCCAGGAACCAAACTGGGTAAGGCCCAATGATGACAAGCTACTCGGAGCCTTTCCTCCCACCTCAGTCTTGCCAGGGCTCTGCAAGTAGGTATGCCTCCACCTACCTTCCCTGCATGGCCCAGTCCAGTGCTTTCAACATGCCCCTACCATTGCAACACTCAAATCTTTGAATGGCTTCCATATAGCCATACTTCCATATAGCCCCGTGCTCAGCTCGAGGGTTCAGACAACGACTGCAACAGCAAGCGTGACCTCCCGCAATTGAGCTGGTAGTCGCAAGCCAAAAATGCAACTGTTCAGCAGCTGTTTCTGTTGAATACTATAAAGCCCAGTCATTGTCCCACGTGCACTCAGCTCATCAGCTGCTGTCCAGCTTCAAGGTGGCATTGGGTTAATTCATTGCTCAAGCTGCATCAAGGCAAATCAGGTCTTGGCTGTTTCTGCCCACGAAGGGGCTGTAACCCCTTTGATATCATTAGCTGGCCCTGGGATTCTGCCCTACGGTCTTTTCCTTTTGAAGCGAAGAGTGTTTTCCTTTGTTTCACAGCAAGCTGTCAGCTGAGAAACCTGATGCGTTCCCATTATGATTCTCGGTGGGGGGGGAAGTTTTCCCCTCTCCCTTTTACATTTCAGAACATAAGTTTTAATAAATAAACAAAACTGGTTTCCTGCTTGTTTGTCGAGTAACGCGGTGTTTGCCGCAACAGGCTGTAAGATACTGGGAAAGACTCTCTTAGCTCACTAGGAGAGGTGCAAGCACGGCAACCCGGGCCTTGTCGGCTAAGAGAGAGCTGCAGGGTTTTCTTAGTAACCTGAACTCTGTTACACTACTAGCTGATTAACGCTAATAATGATTTTGGCACATCCTTTTCCAAAATCCTCAAGGGCTTGTTGGAAAAATATCCCAAAGCCATAAAACCAAGGCCAGCTTCAACCAAGTAAGGTATTCCTCCCTGTTAGAAAGTGCAGGGGGCTTCAAACCCACTGCAAAAGACTTGGACTAGCTAAGGAGAGTGGAAGTCTGTGATTCAGTAGCATCTCATCATACCACCAGTCTCTGCACATCACGGTAAGGGTAGCCAAAATTTGGAATGGGCTCCCAAGGGAGGTGGTGCTCTCCCCTACCTTGGGGGTCTTTAAGGGAAGGCTGAATAGGCATCTGGCTGGGGTCGTCTGCCCCCAGCGCCTTTCCTGCCCAGGCAGGGGGTCGGACTTGATGATCTGTTGAGGTCCCTTCTGACCCTAGAAACTATGAATCTATGAATCAGCTGTACATAGGGCCTGGGCTGTGTCGAGCCACAACATAAGGATCCAAACACCAACTAAAGTATGTGCCATAGTCTGGAAACCAAGTGCAGGAAAGCCACAAACGTTGCCGCAGAAGTGGCTACTCGGCACTTGCGGGGACGGAGAACTGAAAAGGTTACGGCAAAGCAAGATCCATTAGGAAGCCAGAAGCGTCACCCACATTGAACCGGGCAGGGTAAAAAGCAGAGCAGCATGGACACCACGGGTCTGATTTCTCCCTCCAGCTGCAGTGGCCTGACACCACTGAAATCAATAGTCATAAATGTATACTGTGAGTGAGAGGAGGATTGGACCCAGAGCAGTTGCAGGCAGATAATATAAGCAGAGATCCATGGGTTTTCAGCAGTCTTCACCCACAATTGCATTTTCTGTGGATGAGACATCAGCCCTTTTCTGGCTGTATTTGTGTTTTTTCTTACCCATCTTTCATGCTTGGAGGCAAAAGCCCTTTACAAGCATTAATGAATTCAGCTTCACAATTCCCTTCACTCCTGCTGTGAGGGGTTGTTGTCGAGAGGGAGAAGTGAGGCGTAGAGACTTGTGAATTTTGCAAGGCCACCTCGGGTGCTGTGTGGCCGGGATCTCCCAATCCCTGGGCCATGTCCATGAGCGCTCCTGGGCAAGCGGCACAGAGATGCTTCAGAAACCCTGGTCATGGATCCTTGTCCCTGCGATATAGGGAGATGACCTCTGTCTTGGCAGGTGAGGAGCTAAGCCTCAGAGATGCTCGCTCAAGAAGTGAAACAAGTGCATCTCATTCTCCTAGACAGGGAGGACGGTCTCCTAGAAATGCTCCTAGATGCGGGAAAAAAATCTTCACTTCCTTCATGGATGCTGTGAACATGTACTCTTGCTTTGCTTTATCGCCTTGCAATTCCTTGTTTCAGTAAGCTGCCAGGGATTTCGTGAAAGGCTCCTAATTTATGATGAGACTTTTGAATAACCAGGTTTTTTTCCCCCAGGGATAAGTCCTTTCTCTGTACCAGGAGGATTGCCCTGTTATTTGAAGGAGGAAGGGGCTAGTAGCTGGCAAAAAGAGCAAAAACTCAGCATATTTAAGTCGACTGGGAAATTTCAGAGCACAAGGCCGGAGTGGGACCTGAATGCCCCAAACATATTCCTAATAATTTCCTTAAGCAATTCACTGGAAACAAGAGATAATGAGAGCACAGTTTTCTTTGCTGCAGCTGGTGGAGATTTGCTAATCTCTTAAGCAGTCGGACTAGTCGGAGCCAAAATCCAGCTACAATACACTCGAATTACCAGTGCCAACGAGTCAGATGGCAGAGGAATACTTTGCAAAGCAGGATGGAGCAGAGTTTATAGGATTAATAGTCATTTTCATGGTAATAATTGGTGCTGTCTCATAGAGCGCCATTATTGCCTGATGATAAAGTTATGCTCTGTCATATGAGAGAGCAGTAATGTCCTGGAACATGAGCCAGATAATGTTCGGTGGATTTTATTTTATGGGCTGCTCTAAAGAGGTGGTGCCCTGTGCGCCGTCCCCACACACCCAGCCACCCTCCTGCCGCCTTCCTGCGCTGCCCCAGGGGCAAGCCAGCCCATTCCTGGATGGCCCCAGGTGTCCTGCGGGCCACAGGTGCCTGGTGAAGGCAAAAGTGGTGATGGACCCAATGCTTTTTTATTTCTCGGCGGAGCCTGCCTGCCTCTCCTGCAGCCAGGGGGGTGAGCTGCCGGTGGGCCAAGCAGCCCCTGAGCTGTGGGGGACCCTGGTCTCTCCCTCCATGGCAGCAGCACCCACTGGGGCCACCCGGGCAGGCTGCTAGTGGACTGGGTGCTGCCCCAGCACAGGGTCAGGGAAGAGTTTGCTGCCCCAGCTCAGAGGCAGCAACTATCAACAGCAGTTTTGGGCCAAAAATAGAGGAGAGGACATACAGCTAAGGGTGCCAATGCAGATGCTGACAGATCTAATTGAGAGATGGATTCAACCCGAGGCAAACCCGGGCAGCCCTGCTGTGGAGGGAAGGACTGGGGCAGCTTGGCCTGCCAGTGGTTTGACCCCCGGCCATGGGCAGGTTGCAGCTCTGACCAAACCAAAAAAAAGGATCAGGCCCTTTGCTGTGACACGATGGGAAAATTGAAATGGTGAATTTCAATTAAAACCCCCATTTCAATTTAGGGGGCTTTGAATCAACCCTGAGGACTAAATGCCCGTCATGTGTACAAGCACCCTTAATGGTAGCCTCTTTCAGTTTTGCCACAGTCCTTTTTCTAAGCCCCACAGAAAAGTTGTATTATCCAGCAAATCAGACTGTTGATCTCAGGCCTCTCCCTGCCCTTTCAGCGTTGCTCTCCTGCACATTCCTCCTTCCCAGTCATGCTTGGCCTCCTGCTTTCTTGGGTTTCCTACTTTAGTCCTCGCCCACTTTTGCAATGCACTCTCGCTGTTGAGACCCAGCTTCCTGACCAAATCCGCTGTGTGCACGCGCCCCTTGTTGCTTCGGGCACTCACATCTGGTCCTTCTCTTCTTTTGACACGGTCTGAAATGTTCTGCAAAATCCCGATTGATTTCTGTTTAGCTGACAAAGATCAGTGAGGCATGCAGCGTTGGTAATAGGCCCCTGAAAGGTATTTCTGTGTCCCGCGTACTGTCAATGAAGAGAAGCCCCTGACTGGCTATGTGCCCTTACTAAGAAAGGCTGCATAACATGGGCAACCAGGCTTACCCATCCCTAATATTAATATATGTCGGGATAATAAGTATTGCAATGAAGATGGTGAGGAGCTTGCAAAGCTTTTAACTCAGACATCAGTATATTGTAGACTGATTTTCCTGGAAGTTTGTCTTTCATTTCCAAAGTAAAATAAGCACATTCACATGTCCAGAGCTCAGGAAGAGAGTCCTTTCAGAGGCAAAGACCAGAAGACTCAAAATAAAGGCATAACCAGCTCCTATTGCACCTCTGACAATGAGTGCCTCTGTAGCCTTGGACAAATCCCTTAATCTCTCTGTCTTAATCTTCCCTAGCTGTCAGATAAAGATAAATAATAGATATTTAAACTGGAGGGGGATAGTAAAGATTTACTAACTAATGGTTGTAAAGTGCTTTTGAAGACGAAGTGTTTAGATAAGCAAGAGGTCATGTGAGTGGAGAGATAACAGGAGAGAAGTCCCGTAAATGGAGAAACCCAAAGCCAATGTGATGATTGCCCTCGCTGCGTCCTTGCCTAATCCTTGCTTTCTCTGTTACTCAGACTGAAGAATGTGAGCTGAAAGTAGTTGAACAGGAGAAGGATGTCACAGCTCTGTCCTCCAGAGACGCTTGCAAATGCCATAAAGAAGACTTGGCCAAGGCTTTGCATGTAAGCATGACTACATGTGTTGTCACCTCAATCGGGACTCAACGTGCTGTTTTACTCAGAGATGGGGTCAAGCTGCATGGTTCAAATCCACTTGCCAATGCAACCTCCCCCCCACAAAATTTGTGGGTATGCAGATCTGGGGGGTTGTTTGGGAAGAGCCTTCAAATTTGGGATGATTTTTATGAGAGCTGAATAACATGAGTTACCTTGTTGGGACAAATGATGGTGGTGAACCATTACTGAAGCCGTCCAGATGATTAATTACTCGGGGACTCTTTGTCTATCACCAGCAGGTAGGGGGTTCAGGCCCATTCTGCAACGTCCATCCAATATGCACAGCTCTGACCTGCTATGTGGTCTTCCAGCTCAGGTCTTGCAAACTCTTATGTGGCGTCTTAGTGGGCTGTTGTATAGCCTCAGGTTCACGACTTATACCTACCACAGTTGTAGCATCTCAAGAAAAGTTGCCAAATGGGTCTAGAACAGGAGATATGTCCTCAAAATACTAACTGATGCTTTTGCAGGCCTTCAATCGTGTGCTTTGTGTGTGCTCAGTGAAGTAGAAGGGGTGAGATGGGGTGCTCATATATTTGTGGGGTGTCCCACAAAGAGCACAAGGGGAGAGTCTAACTCAGGAGAACTATTAGAGACCCAGCTTCCATCTGTGTTTCAAATCCAGATCACAGTTACTCAATTCCTATAAAACGCTTCTCATAGAGGAAACCCAATACTATGTTGGGAGGAATGCATGCTTGGCCATGGATATATCAGACTAATAATCCAAAAGATAGAAACCCACTGACTAAAGAATCAAGGAGTGCCATAATACAAAGTATTTTCTAATCTTCTCATATATTGTCCTCTCTTGCCGTCTTTTAAAACTTGCAGTTGCAATTTGGTTTCTTTTAAAATAGTCTCTTTCATATGGAAAAACACTGAAGTATATCTTTCTAGTGAATCCAGAACTCGGTCCCATGTTTGCTTTTCGATCTGCCGTTCAATCGTCCATGTGGAAGGAGGGTTTATTAATTTATTTATACCCCTGCTGGTTCTTTGAGAGTAGATGACAAAACTGTAGAATACTCTCCTTGTCTGCAATTTCAGGTCATTCTGAATATTCCAGTTTGTACAGCCCGTCTCATATAAAAAATAGCTCTAACACTTAGTCAAACATTAGACCCAACTTCTGTCCAAGCTTATTAATAGCTTTTTAATGTAGCTTTGTGCAGTTATCCACTACGATCTTAATCACCCTCCAGGTCGATTTACAAACGGGACTCTCGGAGTTATCTGTGCTCCATCGCAGGCTGACCCATGGCTGGAATGAATTTATAGTAGACAATACGGAGCCAATATGGAAGAAATATCTAGACCAGGTAAATATTTTGTGGAGTTTTTAAATGCCCGGATAAAGCAACCAAGATAGCCATATATTTCTGCAATTCTGTAGTACTCAGCTGTTAAAAAAATCATCCTGAAGTCTGTATGGTAAGATGTATACTGGTTCGTGAGCCCCCCATTCTTTAAAGAAGTACTTGGACTATCTATCCCTGGGGAAATCGCTGCAGGCTAAAGACCCATATTTGCTGTGTATGAAGATAAAGATCTATCATTTTCAAAAGATGCTTTGCCATGTGCATAAATCACAAGCTTTGTCATTCATGTATCGATTGCATAACACTTGGAGCATGGTTATTCCTTTCTCCGTCCAGTGATGAAAGAATGAAAGGCTTTAGAAGGAAAGTAATAAATTGGTCTCATCCTGATATGAGTTATTATATGGTTCAGCGATCAGCACTAAACCTGCAGCAAAAATGCATGTGGCATCTAAAGCTCGGATGAGAGCTGACTTTCAGCTCTTTGATATGGTAATAAATATGATACTGCAAATTATTTGGAAAGGCCAATGATTCAAACAAACCCCCAGAAACAAGCAATGGGGATGGGTGGCATTTTTAATCTTATTCTTCTTCAGCTGGGTAATCCTTGCGCAGATATAGATTAAATTTTCCTTTCACCAGTGGATCTCATTAGTTTTATCTATCTTTCATGCCTACCTTAGAGCAGGATTTTTGTTGTTGTTGTTGGAGATTTATTATTTTGGGATTTTTTTTCTTGCTGGTTAGTTTTGTGTTTTGGTTCCATATTAGCCAGATCTTGAAGGCCTTAATTTTTTTAAGGGTTACTTTTTATTTCAGTGTTTTTTATCTGACCTGATCAATATTCTTTACGCACGTAACCCTTAGTAAATCTTCTAACACGTTCAGCACTCCTAATCAAAAATTTTAATAAATGTTGAATCTTTTTTTTTCCTTAATCCTGATTCTTAGCAAGATATTTTCCTTTGAAGTTACCATATTAATTCCTTAGTTATACCTGCACTTTCTGACAATGCTTCAGTCTCTTTGGCAGTTTTGGTGGATCGCATAATTCATGAATTAAAAATAGACTTAAATTTCAACATGGCTTCTTCCTGTCACTAAACTTGTAAAATAAATGCTATGGATCTAAGGATGGCAATGAAGTGGCATTTCACACTGGCTACAATGGGAACAGAATCAAGCCTTAACTCCTTTAACCTGTTAAGCCTTTACACGTATGCCATGGCAAGCAAAGACTTTTTTCTTCTCTTTCCTTCACCCTAATTTAATTGCATCACTTGTGGAAGTAGCTAAGTGAAGCTAAGATGTTTACACATTGGAGCTTAAAATTAAGCCCCATATCCATATTTAGCACCTACTAAAATGAACACAATTTCAAAAATACTAAACTTTCACTAGCCAGCAGTAGCAAGAAGCACACGTGCTGTGGACTGAGCTTTTATCTTATCTTCTTGGTCTGTGCCAGAGCCGTTCCACGCCTGTGCCCACATGAGCAGGCTACGTAGGATTAGATTGAAAGCTAGCAGCCTGGGTTTAATTTCCCCAAGTCAATGATTACAGACTGATGCTGCTGGGGAGTCTTAGGGGGGGATTTCAATGCAAATTATGCGATCCTTGCTGTTTTGAATGAAGTCTGGCCCTAAACTGCTTCTTGGTTCACTTTCAGTGACGGATTTTTCACGCACAATAAAAAAAAAAGCCCTTTTTTTTTGTTTTTAGTTTAAGAACCCGCTGATTCTACTGCTGCTGGCTTCTGCCTTAGTAAGCATCATCACAAAAGAGTACGAGGATGCTGTGAGCATTGCAATGGTAAGCGACCGCCCCGTCAATGCAAGCATGTCCATGTGCAAGCTCTAGTCCATGTGCCCAAAAATTTACTACCTTTTTCTTCTTAGGCCGTGCTAATTGTGGTTACGGTGGCCTTCATCCAGGTATGTCATGAGCGAAACCTCGTAGCGTAGCTTCCCAGCTCAATTTATAGCGCCGTTGGAATCCATCCTGCTTTGTGACTTTATTCTGTGCTACTTTCTTATCAGGAATATCGCTCTGAAAAATCTTTGGAAGAGCTCAACAAGCTAGTCCCTCCAGAGTGTAACTGGTATGTCGTACATACCTATTCATTTAAGTTCTGGGCAGTGAAGCAGATAATGAAGGCAATGATTCAAGTCCTTGTGCATGCAGCGAGCTTCAAAACCAAATAAGCGATAAGCCTGTCTCTGGATGGGACATGAGCACCCTGCATCCATGCAATTATATCTCCCATGATAACTTGCCTCTGTGACTACGGAGCTCTGGTTAGTCATGGCTATGGGAGTTGTCCTTTAGCTCAGGTAGCAGAGGCCTGGGGTTTGAGTGCTGAAGATCCTGTGTGTGATACCAACTGTTTGTAGGGGTGTGGGCACAAGTACTGCGAAGCAGCAGATATGGGCTATAACGCCAAGAGTCCAGCCATTCCTATAAATCAAATGTTGGTTTCCCAGATGTGCATATGGAAATGACTGCATTAGCATATGAAGGGTTGACATAATGTTTAGGCTTCCCAACCTTTGCTAAATCACTGTAGAGGGTGGGGAAAGTCATATTTCTCATGCTATCAGATCATTATTTGATAGAATCATAGAAAATGAGGGTTGGAAGGGATCTCAGGAGGTCACATCTAGTCCAATCCCTGCTCCAAGCAGGACCAGCCCCAACTGCGTCATCCCAGTCTTAAAAACCTCCAAAGGTGGAGACTCCACAAAACCCTTTGGGTAACCTGTTCCAATGCTTTACTACCCTCCTACTGAGAGAGTTTTTCCTAATATCTAACTTAACTTGCAACATCTGCAACTCGAGACCTTTGCTCCTTATTCTGTTCTTTCTCTTTCCTTTTTTTGGCCTGATAACTGCATGCTCAGAATAATTTGCAGTTGTGTTTTCTTTTATTATTTCATATACTAGGCACGTCCAAAGACAGTTTATACAGTATCAAAGAATAGTAAGGGCTAGATTTGCAAAGTAGTACCTAGCATGCACCCACACATCCATCCTACTGAACAGTCTCACTCCAGGATGACTGAGCTGCACCCGGTAAAAAAGCAGTGGCAAGAATTAATGTCTTCAGGTCATCTTTGTGACCTCCCCACCATCTTGGCTGGCTGAATGCCAGACTGGTCTCCAGATAGAGATTACCGCAACCAGAAGGTTGTTTAGCTGCCAACGACCCACAAAAGTGAATCCATTATCTGGAGGGTGTAGG